CTGGTCTCTCTCTTGTCTCCCTCTGGTCTCCCTCTGGTCTCCCTCTGGTCTCTCTCTTGTATCCCTCTGGTCTCTCTCTTGTCTCCCTCTGGTCTCTCTCTCTGGCCTCTCTCTCTGGTCTCTCTCTTTCTGATATGTCTCTCTTGTTTCTCTCTCTCTCTCTGGTCTTTTGTATCTCTGGTCTCTCTCTTGTCTCCCTCTGGTCTCCCTCTGGTCTCTCTCTTGTATCCCTCTGGTCTCTCTCTTGTCTCCCTCTGGTCTCTCTCTTGTCTCCCTCTGGTCTCTCTCTCTGGTCTCTCTCTTTCTGATATGTCTCTCTTGTTTCTCTCTCTCTCTCTCTGGTCTCTCTCTCTCATCTCTCTCTGGTCTCTCTGATCCCTCTCTCTGGTCTCTCCCTGGTCTCTCTCTCTGTCTCTCCCTGGCCTCTCCCTCTCTTGTCTAAATCGCGGTCTCATAATACATAATCATCATTTGCGTTGTTCCTATAGTGACCTAAATAACAACACAGGGGCCGTGGACATGAACCCTGATGAATGTGACACTTCTCTGAAAGAGTTGGGACCTGGGTGACGACTCTCCGGTTTTACCCTGACCTTTGCAATGCTCTCCTAAAAACAACTCAATATATTTGCTTGTGGAACGGTTTTCTATTGAATATTCAGTCAGTGGTTGTTCTTCCTCACCCACACCCTGCAGTGAAGGATTGTGGTTACAAACTAAGCACATAAATGTCGACGCTTTTGCCCAGATGCGCACAACAGCTGCTAATATCACACTATACATCAGCAGAGACTGTGGGGTTAAACCAGGGACTGTGTATTAGGAGTGGACTGACCGAGTGTGACATCACCATAGTGTTAGCATTGACGTGGAGGAAGCCGATTTGACCATAAACGTTCTGATGGGAGTGATCAGTATACAGAAAACTCATTTTGGTCAGGGGCCGGATTAAAAAAATAGGAACTAGGGCCAAAACAATAGAAGAGATGTCCTTTTCTTATAATAGTAATGTTTACATTATGAAGGTATTCTGACGTGACTTTTATGTGACGTGAGAATCACTGTGATTTTCTGGTTGATTTTTCTGAAAACAAATAGTGTTTACTGTTTAGATTGAACCAAAACTGGATCAAATATAAAGTTAGACACATTTTATATTGAACTATTTAACTTCTAATGATGTGTTATTGGATTGAAATGTTAGAATATATTAAATTTGGTTGTTTTTCCTGAGAAAATACATGATGTTGGTCACTAATACCATTGCCATTAAGTTAATAATACAAATTTCAGGAGCCACTAAAAATGGTTTTGACTTTGACACCCATGGTATACAGTCTGTGTTAGCATTGTCCATCTGTATACAGTCTGTGTTAGCATTGTCCATCTGTATACAGTCTATGTTAGCATTGTCCATCTGTATACAGTCTGTGATAGCATTGTCCACCTGTATACAGTCTATGTTAGCATTGTCCATCTGTATACAGTCTGTGTTAGCATTGTCCATCTGTATACAGTCTATGTTAGCATTGTCCACCTGTATACAGTCTATGTTAGCATTGTCCATCTGTACACAGTCTACAGTTTAAACAAGTGTGTTTGGGAGGACAATACTTGTAAGATTTCTCCGTTATCACAGCATGAAGCCGGGACAGGCCACAGGGCATGTCTCTAGCCGGGACAGGCAGGAAGTGTTTTTCTTGGCAGATGCATGTCGAATTACCGCCGGAGCACACAACAACCGCCACAATATCCCTGACCGCGTTTCTAATAAGGCTCACAGGTCAGTTGAGTAATGGACATAAGCAACACGGCTGTGCGCAACATTATGGGAGGAATCTGTTGAATGTGCGCTGTGTAGCACAAAGACGGCCCTGAATGAAGGAATTCACACGACAGGAATGGTCTGAGGACGATCTGCTACTCAGGGTCCGAACAGTGCGGCGTTCAGCGGTGAGGCGCATTCTTTACAGAGAACTCGGCAAAAAATGTGGTGTATGTCGTATTGAGACTGATTGATGCATAGCCGAGATTTTGAGAGATTGGAGCGTGTTTTCTCCTGATGCTTAAAAATAGCTCATTCAAGGAGACTGAAAGATGGGCTACCTAACAATAATAAAATACATAATTAATTAACTAATAAAACAATAAGTGAGAACATCCATGTACAGTAATTTCCATTGTTCTGTATGTAAAGTATGCAAAAGATAAAAGATTTTCTAATTACAGCTGTCAGGTCTCAATCTCGTCTCTCTCAGGTCTCTCTTTGGTCTCTCTCTGGTCTCTCTCTAGTCTCTCTCTGGTCTCTCTCTGGTCTCTCTCTGGTCTCTCTCTGGTCTCTCTCTGGTCTCTCTCAGGTCTCTCTTTGGTCTCTCTCAGGTCTCTCTCTAGTCTCTCTCTGGTCTCTCTCTGGTCTCTCTCTGGTCTCTCTCTGGTCTCTCTCTGGTCTCTCTCTCAGGTCTCTCTCTAGTCTCTCTCTGGTCTCTCTCTGGTCTCTCTCTGGTCTCTCTCTGGTCTCTCTCTGGTCTCTCTCTGGTCTCTCTCTGGTCTCTCTCTCTGGTCTCTCTCTGGTCTCTCTCTGGTCTCTCTCTGGTCTCTCTCTGGTCTCTCTCTGGTCTCTCTCTGGTCTCTCTCTCTGGTCTCTCTCTGGTCTCTCTCTGGTCTCTCTCTGGTCTCTCTCTGGTCTCTCTCTGGTCTCTCTCTGGTCTCTCTCTGGTCTCTCTCTCTGGTCTCTCTCTGGTCTCTCTCTGGTCTCTCTCTAGTCTCTCTCTGGTCTCTCTCTGGTCTCTCTCTGTTCTCTCTCTGGTCTCTCTCTAGTCTCTCTCTAGTCTCTCTCTGGTCTCTCTCTGGTCTCTCTCTGGTCTCTCTCTAGTCTCTCTCTGGTCTCTCTCTCTGGTCTCTCTCTGGTCTCTCTCTGGTCTCTCTCTGGTCCCTCGCCGGTCATCCTTTTCAAAATGACACCTGTTCTCAGCTTATATAGGATTTAGTCACCAAATGTAAGAGCAGCTCTCAGCGCTTCAACAGCGTTAACAGCACTAAGGTCATATTGTGGTTGGGCTGAATGACTGAGGAGTTGGCCACTCATGACCCCAGGGGTGCAGCTCACAGCAGAGGGGCCGGCCGGGGCCCTGGGAGCACTGCAGGCCACTCTCAGGCCTGGTCCTGCCCTCCTTGTCGGCTCATAAATCTGCTTCGGTGCAAAAGTGTCTACTTGAACAGGGAGAGCAGCTGGAGGTGAACTATGAGGCAAACACATGGATCAGTAACAGAGGCCGCTCATAAAGGACGCAGCTGATTTGACAGGACCTGCACCTCCAGTGTACGTGCACCTCCACACAGCTCAGCCACAGCCGCCTGGGACAGGTGGCATGAGCCTGTGCACACGCCTCTGGCCACCTTGGTGTTTATTTGTGCACCCCACCTCCCTCCACCCGCTCAAAGGGTAAACGTCTATTCTGGTTTAGAGTTACATGCGAGCCGCCTTGAACCCGGGCTCCCGAGCGCAGATGCCATTCCTGGCGGGCCAGTGCACTCTCCAGCGCATCACCTGCCCCTGACCCCATGGGCCCGCCTCGCCCAAATACACCCGCCTCCACCTTAGCAAGAGCCACCTGCCCCTCTCTCTCCACCCCACAGCTATTATTACAGGCTTTATAAGGATTTAAATGGTGATCACACGATGGCCATGACCTCAATGAATGGCTAAGCTAGGCTAGGCTAAGCTAGCAGTTAAAGGAGCAATCTGGCAGAGTGACAGGTGGAGGTGATGACAGGGACTGTCTGATAGTGCTACCTCAGTCCACCCGCTTTTCCACTGAGCAGATCCACTATCAAACACGGCCAGTCATCTGTTAGCGCACATCTTTCAGCAGCGTGTCATGGACAAATGTCTCCTCACCTTCCTAACACCTGTTTGGCATTACACCACTGACGGATCCAAAGGGAAAAGACCTGGAGATAAATCTGTAGGATTTACACGGATTATTTCAAGAGTGTGAATATACTATTCACAAATAAGTTTTGTTTGGTGTAAGCACTAGGGTTGCCTGCTTAGTCCATCAGTATTTGTTTGTGAACTGGCTGCAGATAGATATTCACAGTGATATATCATAAAATCAGGTCTTGTGCTCGGGGGACTCTTCAGCCTGTGACACATGTGTTCATTCAGAGCTGCACGATTCCAAACGACAGCTGTGCAGGAAGCAGCAGCGGTTTTTACCGAAACACAGATGCTCCTTGACTCATCAGTGTAAAACCATGTTCTTGTATTGTTGCTTTGTGCACATGTTAAGCTTCTTGGTAAAACACATGGGTGCGGTGAGGACTGGTGCGGTGAGGACTGGTGTGGTTCAGACTGGTGTGGTTCAGACTGGTGCGGTGCAGACTCGTGTGGTTCAGACTGGTGCGGTGTGGACTGGTGCGGTGAGGACTGGTGTGGTTCAGACTGGTGTGGTTCAGACTGGTGCGGTGTGGACTGGTGCGGTGTGGACTGGTGTGGTTCAGACTGGTGTGGTTCAGACTGGTGTGGTTCAGACTGGTGCGGTGTGGACTGGTGCAGTGAGGACTGGTGCGGTGCAGACTCGTGTGGTTCAGACTGGTGTGGTTCAGACTGGTGCGGTGCAGACTCGTGTGGTTCAGACTGGTGCGGTGTGGACTGGTGCGGTGAGGACTGGTGTGGTTCAGACTGGTGTGGTTCAGACTGGTGTGGTTCAGACTGGTGCGGTGTGGACTGGTGTGGTTCAGACTGGTGTGGTGTGGACTGGTGTGGTTCAGACTGGTGTGGTTCAGACTGGTGTGGTTCAGACTGGTGCGGTGTGGACTGGTGCAGTGAGGACTGGTGCGGTGCGGACTGGTGCGGTGCGGACTGGTGCGGTGCGGACTGGTGTGGTTCAGACTGGTGCGGTGAGGACTGGTGTGGTTCAGACTGGTGCGGTGAGGACTGGTGTGGTTCAGACTGGTGTGGTTCAGACTGGTGCGGTGCGGACTGGCGCAGAGCGTACCGTACATCTTGCCCTCGTCAGACAGGATAATCTTCCGTCTGCCACACGGAGGGTATATGGCCAGAGCCTCCTGGAAGCTCTGCTCGATGTCAGGGCTCCACACTCCCTCTGCATCGTTCTCCAGGGGCTTGTCCAGTCCCTCCCCCAGCTCCTCGCTCCCACCCCGCGGGGAGGGAGCCGGCACCCACTCCGCAGACGTGGTGGGGGGGAGGCAGGACCGGGAGCTCGGTGGAGGGCGTAGGTAGAATGGGAAACGGTGCTCTGGGTGAAGTCACTGGAGAAACAAAAACAAAAACACACTCAAAAAATTGTTGAATAAGCGAAAGTGGGCGATAAAGCTCAGCTGCCTGCCACCTCCCGCTGTTGTCGCCGTGACAAGACAAATGACTCTTCAGAAACCATTATCGCTGTTTGAGAAAGGCTAAATATGAGACTGCAGATTAGATTGTAATGTAGTCTGCTGTGGAGTCACAACGGGTGGCTTTTGGAGGGGCACCAAGGAGGATTCAGTCAGGATATTAAACCCAGGAGGCATTTTACACCATTGTTTCCTTACATTTATTGGATAAACAGAGCATCTTTTCAAATAGTTTCACGGAGCTTTTGTTTTAAACATATGATAAGCAAGCTTAGTTTTCCCAAAGAAGTGGTCCCTGGTTTATCACAGGGTTAGGTCCAAAAAGTAACCCAAAATAAGCAAGAGAGAGACCAGGGAGAGATCAGAGAGCGATCAGAGAGAGACCAGAGAGAGACCAGGGAGAGACCAGGGAGATTTCAGGGAGAGATCAGAGAGAGACCAGAGAGAGTTCAGGGAGAGATCAGGTACAGAGAGTGACCAGCGAGAGACTGGAAAGACCAGAGAGAGACCAGAGAGAGACCAGAGAGAGAGACCAGAGAGAGAGACCAGAGAGAGAGACCAGAGAGAGACCAGGGAGAGATCAGAGAGAGACCAGAGAGAGACCAGGGAGAGATCAGAGAGAGATCAGAGAGAGACCAGAGAGAGACCAGGGAGAGACCAGCGAGAGACCAGAGAGAGACTGAAAAGACCAGAGAGAGATCAGAGAGAGACCAGAGAGAGTCCCTGAACTAATCACTGCGATGCACACAAGCCACAAATGTTTTCTTCTGACTTTAAATAAAGGTAATTGTCATGTTACACTAACGGTTATATGATGTTGGAGAACGAATGCGGTGAAGGAGATACACTGTGAAAAACCGCAAAAACTTGCACACACAAAAATCCACGAAACAGTGAGGCTGCAAATGTGAACCGCGATAGATGGGGCAAACGTGTTGCTAAGACGGTTGCTAAGGCTAATTGAGCTTCATTGAGCGAGTGGGTTAGCATTGTCCATCTGTATAAAGTATACAAAGGCAAAATGTATAGTAGGCAGGTGATTATCGGAAAATAAGTACCTTCCGCCCTGTCGGAACTTATTTTCCAATAATGACCTGCCTACTATACATTAGCCCGCTTATTATGCGGCTTTGTACCAACAGAGCACTCAAAATAGACTTCAATCCACTCTTAGGAATGCGGAAAGGTTTATTTATTGACAGAAAATAGAATAGTTCCCAAAGGCTTTCCCGTGGCTATGAGAGTAACAGTTAGGCTAGTAACAGTTAGGCTAGTAACAGTTAGGCTAGTAACAGTTAGGCTAGTAACTTCCAAACTAGAACTCTCTGGAACTGCATGAAAACTGAACAAATAATTCTGCGGTGAGTGACCCAAACATAAACTTAACCTAAATCCATAATTCGATCTTCTGCAAATGATGGTGACATTAACTGTTAGCTTCCATGACTCAATCGCAAATCTATTTAGACAATAAATGAGCTTCCTATCACTACTAAAACTTGATGGAGTCAAAATAACAAGTCCATAAACTCCACCACAGTAAAAATACCCACATGTTGTGTTTAGGTAGCGGCTTATAGTTTAGCAATGGGGAAACAACCTTTCATATTTATGCAGCTAGGAACAGCCTTCCTGAAAATGTGAGACAGGCTGATAATGTTCAAATCCATGTGAAAAACAGTTCTGTTTAGCTGTAACTGAGGGATTTTATCTTCACACTTCACTGTACTGTGCTTATTTATTATTTGAATGCCATGTAACAATGTAATCTTGTTTTGTTTGTTTGCACTTTGCCTTGTGCATGAACTGTGCTATACAAAATAAACTTGCCTTGCCAATCACAGTCAGCAAGAAGATTTCCCCTGTTTCCCTTTGTCTGCCAATAGATAGATTTTTAAAAAATCAAAAAAATATACAATGGCACACTCAGAGGTGAATATTGCATAAAGTCCGGTGTTTAACCCACGACGGCTCAAAGACAGTGTGTAATAGTGTGTTTCAGATTAGGTCTCCGTCAGTCCCTCCCCCAGCGAAGGCCCCTGTTCTCTGGATCCGCTCAGAGGGATAATCCCACTGGAGGGGCCACACAACCTCGCTGAACTGGCTCTACACCTGCACATGCATACACACATTATACACTTCAACCCAGTCTCAACAACAACACAACCTCAAGACGATATCACTGTTGCTGTCCGGACATAGAGCGTGTACCAGAAGTGGGCAGACAGAGTGTGACATCACCATAGTGTAAGCCAAATGCAGAAGATGATGATTTGAACATAATCTAGCTGGAGAAAATGTCCTTATATGGGCATTCCACGACGTGTTGCTGTATCCCCCACAATTGAAGGCATCTGATTGGTCAAACCTTATATGTCTCAAACTATCTGGATTTTTTTCAGTCACCTTTAAAAAAAAAAGGTGAGTGTGACGCAAACGGATACTGTGCGAGATGAATTTACGTTTCAATGTAAGTCAACAGGAGCCAGAGCGAGTTGGAGACATATTTCGTCCATGAACACTTCCCTACTGGGCTTCAACGAGCTAGCAAGTTAGCATCGTCCATCTGTTTACAGTCTATGTGCCCAATTAACCCAAAATAGTGGGGAGAAGAAGCTGAGAAATTTAGTGTCATAAATCAGATATTAATACTATAAGAAGACATTAAAACTAGCATTGAAACGACATACAATAATCATTTGCAAAAGTATCAGTATTGAAAACACAGAACAAAATGTCATTCTTTGAGCTGTTTTAGATCTAGTATGGCAACTAGTATAAAACATTTTCGTTCCATTGAAATCCAGTTTGTAATTTTACTTTTGTGTTTTGTTACAAGGTCTATTCTCATTAAATGCTATTATGAATGAATGATCAATTAATTCATTTTTAGATCAATTTAACTATGGCACTAAAAACCAACATATTAGTTTTGACCTGCAACATCTCTGCGTGTACCTCTCCCTCCGCCCTGGAATACTGATGATGAGGGACTGGCCAAAAGATAACAATGATATAATTCTCCTGCTGGAAGTCGTAAAAGCAACAATTAGAGAAATAGCCAGACTTTCTCATCATTCCACCTCAGGGACTGGCCTCCTGCTGGTGCCAGACTAAGCTTGGGGAGTCAACATTTTAGATTTATGCAGAAAACTCTGGAACCGTCTCCCTGACCTCGTAAGACCTGGACTTAAACCTGGAAATGTTTAAGTCCAGGTTGAAAACGGTCCTAATCCCCGTTTCCACCAGCCTAAAGCTCACCGCACACCGAAACGCAGCGCCTCGCGGCGCGTCATTTGACGCGCGTTCATGACATGTGTCAAATTACACCGGAACGCCTTGGCTAGCGTCCTTTTCCAGCTGATATAGCCAATATAGCCAATAAAAATAGCTACAATTACCTATTGTTAGCTTACCTGTACATTCAATTTCAAGTGAAATTGCTCTCCAGGCAATTTCCTTTCGCACGATATCCTTATAAAAAGGATTCTGTGGGTTAAATAGCTCTGGGTAACGCTGTACTTGGGTTATCAAGCTTTCCTCGTCCATTGTGACCGGTTTACTTGAGCAATAGCGCCGACAAGTGTGTAAATTTGAGACCGCGCTCACAGCTACGTGATAAGAAGCGCAGAAGAAGAAAACTACGGGTGCTTGGAGGGACAGTTTCAGCCGCGGCGCCGCGTCTGGATTCAACAAAACTGAATCGTGGCGCCCGGTCCAGCGTCGCCGCGCGTCACTGCAACCTTGGTGTGCGTTCTCTCATAGAAAATAAAGGAGGCGGCTCTTTTGCCGCGCGTCAAGGCGTTTCGGTGTGCGTTGGGCTTTACATGGCCCTACTCTACTTGGCTCTACTGTGGCCGGCTCCTTTTCGATTGCGATTCAGTATCAGGTACCGCATCCTTGCAACCTACACACAAAAAATCAGTACTCGTGGAAATTCGGACTCTGAGGAGCGCAGGGACGGGACTCCTGTTAGTGCCCAGAGTCAGGACTAGACAGGGGGAGGCTGCTTTTCAGATGTATGCAGCTAAAGTCTGGAACAGTCTTCCTGAGGATGTGAGACTGGCTGCCTCTCTGTCAATGTTCAAATCCATGTTAAATCAATCAATCAATCAAAGTTTATTTGTAGAGCGCCTTTCATACACAGGGCAACACAAAGCGCTTCACAGTCCACATCACAAATCATCACATAAAACAAACACCAGAATCACAATTAAAACATTAAAATCACACAAAAGATTAAAACACAATTAAAACATTAAAATCACACAAAAGAATAAAACCATTAAAACTTTCAAAATTACACAAGAAATTTAAAAAAATAAATAAATGACAGCAGTGCATTAAAAATGGAGATAAAATCCTTCAGTTATATGCACAGGCAAACAGAACAGTCTTTAACCTGGATTTGAACATTGACAGAGTAGACGCCTCCCTCACATTTTCAGGGAGATTGTTCCAGATCTTAGCTGCATGGATCTGAAACGCAGCCTCCCCATGTTTGGTTCTCACTCTGGGCACCAGCAGGAGGCCAGTCCCTGTGCTCCTCAGAGTCCGGGCCGGTTCATATGACACCAACATGTCACTAATGTATTCTGGTGCAAGGCCATGGAGAGACTTGTACACAAGCAGAGCCGTTTTAAAATCTATTCTTTGAGCCACAGGAAGCCAGTGCAGAGACCTGAGGACCGGACTAATATGGTCATACTTCCTGGTTCCTGTCAGGACTCTAGCTGCTGCATTTTGGATGTACTGCAGCTGCTTACAGGTCTGTTTGGACAGACCTGTAAGCAGGCCATTGCAGTAGTCTAGCCTGCTGGAGACAAATGCATGGACAAGAATCTCCAAGTCTGCCCTGGACACTATATTTCTAACTTTGGCAATGTTCTTCAGATGGTAAAAAGCTGTTGATGTTA